TTTTCTTTTTTTGTATAATTCTTGGTTGTTTTCTTAGTGGTTACCTTGGGGATTCATATTTGAAACTGATGGAAACCTAGTTTCAATGGAAACAACTTAGTTTCTATAGTATATAAATACTCTAATAATATACATCTTCACATCTTCTCCACTATATTGTTATTTTCACAGATTACATATATATTGTTATGTGCTCACCAACATAGATGTATAATTACTGTTTTATGCACTAGAGTTTTAACTCATACAGGGGGAAAAAGGAATTACAAAAAAATTGTACTAAAGTGCAAAAATACTGATTTTTATATTCACTCATGTAGTTACCTTTTCAGTGTTGCTTATTCCTTATCATGTTGAGTTATTGTTTAGTATAATTTCATCTCAGCATGAAGGATTACTTTTAGCATTTCTTGTAATGCAGTTCCACTGATAATGAAATCTCTCAGCTTTTATTTATCTGACAATGTCTTAATTTATCCTTCATTTTTGATAGATAGTTTTGCCAGATATAGATATTTTAGTCGAAGGTATTTTGCTTTTAGGGCTTCAGTATGTCATCCCACTGTCTTTTCACCTCCATGGTCTCTGAAGAGAAATCTGGTGTTACTCTTATTGAGAATTCCTAGAATGTGATGAGTCACTTTTCCTTACTACTTTTTTTTTTTTCCGAGTTGGAGTCTTACTCGGTCACCCAGACTGGAGTGCAGTGGCCACTCCCGGCCACTGCAGCCTCGCTTGCTGGGATCCGGCGATTCTTCCGCCTCAGCCTTCCGAGTAGCCGGAATTACAGGCATGCACTACCACACCCGGCTGATTTTTTGATTTATTGTAGAGATGAGGTCTTGCTGCCCAGGTGGGTCTCGAACCCGCGGGCTCAGGCAGTCCACTCACCTCAGCCTCCCAAAGGCACGGGATTACAGGCTGAGCCACCGAGCCTGGCTTCCTTACTACTTTAAAAATTCTCTCTTTGGCTTTGGGTTTTCAATATTTGCAACAGTGTGTCTCTGTGGGTGTGTCTTTTGAGTTTATCCCACTTGGAGATCACTGAGCTTTGCAGATGTGTGTATACATGTTTGTCATCAGACTTGCAAAATTGTAGGCCATCCTTTATTCACATATTTTTCTTTCTCATCTCTCTTTTCTCCTCTGAGATTCCTGTGATGCAGATGTTGGTGTGTTTGATGCCTCCCCTGACTGATTATTGTTTCTCATTAGGTTTTTCATTTTGCATCTTAGACTAAATAATTTCAGTGTATTATCTTGAGGTTTATCTATTATTTCTTCTGTCTGCTCTGATATGGATGTTATTAACTGAATGGTTGTGTCCCCCACCCAAAATGCATATGTTGAAGTCCAAGTTCTGATGTGGCTGTATTTGCAGATAGGGCCTTTGTGGAGGTAATTATGGTGAAATTAGGATATAAAGACATTTATCAAATAAGATTAGTGATCTTATGTGAAGATACTGGAGATCATTGTCTCTTCTTCTCTCTTTCCTTTCTTTTCCTCTGCAATGTGGAGACACAACAAGATAGTGGCTGACTGCAAGTCAGGGAAAAATACTCACCAATAATTGGCCCTTTTGAACCTTGAGCTGGACTTTTAGATTTCTGTACTGTAAGAAAATAAATGTACATTATTACTATCATTATTTTTGGAGACAGGCTCTCACTCTGTCACTCAGACTGGAGTGTAGTGGCATGATCATAGTTTACTACAGTCTCAAACTTCTGAGTTCCAGTGATTCTCCTGCCTCAGTCTCCTGAGTAGTTGAACTACAGATGTGTGCCACAAAAAAAAGGTAATTTTTAAGCAAAGAAGGGATCTTGCTCTGTTGTCTAGGGTGATCTTGAATTCCTGGTCTCAACTGCTATTCCTGCTTCAGCCTCCCAAAATTCTGGGATTACAGATACGAGCCACCCTGACCAGACCAAATTTTGTTTTACTTAAGCCACTGGTCTATAGTATATTGCTATAAAATATCAGGCAGGATAATACACTTTTGTTTAAACCAACAAGTTATTGTACTTTTCAGCTCCAGAATGGCTGTTTCATACCTTTATATCATGTCTCTTTGTTGAGATTCTCATTTGGTTTCTACATAGTTTTCCTGATCTCCTTTAGTTCTTTGTCCATGGTTTCCTTTAGAACACTGAGCATATTTAACACAATAAATTTAGTGTTTTTCACCAGTTATTGAAGCATCTGGGCTTTCTCATGTATGGTTTCTGACAGTTTTTCCTATGAATGAGCCATAATTACCTCTTTCTTTGTTTATTTTAATTTTTTTGAGAACTGTACATTCTGAGGATTTAATTATGACGATTCTGGAAATAGAATTATCACATTCTTAAAAAGTTGTCAGTTTTTGTTTGTTGAATGCTGGAATGGTCCATTTGTGACTTTTCTAAGCTCTTTTTGAAAGAGCATATTCCTTGTTTTGTAAGGTCACCAAATTTTCTGACCTGTTATCCCGGAAGTCATTCAGTGACTTCACAATGATTTCCTAAGTATTTAACTCATAAAAGGGCAATATTTTTACTGTCTCTGCAGCTCCAGATATATGCTTCAGGGAGCAACTGCTATAGCCAAGATGGCCCAAACCAAGGAAAATATCTGCAGTTGTCCCTCAGTGATCCATCAGACAGGCGAAAGCACGCAAACTCAAATGTGTGGAGGGAAAGGTCTCTGCCCAGCCCAACACCCCCACTACCAGCTTCCATGAAAGCAGACCATTTTCACTCCATGTATGGGGATTTGGGGTGATTTACATATAGTGTGCTCCTCTGAACTGCTACAACTTCATTATCAGCACTCCTTTGGTTATCATGTCACATCAGATGGATTTCTGAAATAATTGATTCTGGACTTCATTTTTCAGTTCACTGGTAGTTTTAATGCAGGGACCCATCCATAGAGTTTGGGTCTATGGTTTTATGATTTCAGTACATCTTGGGTTTGTCCTGCCTTCATTTGGACTATATTCTTGGTGACTAGAGGTGACAGAACTATACTTATAGCCTCACCATAATTTTTCCCTTTAGAAACATCCCTGACATGAGTAGTCGTAATTGCAAAAATTGACATCCAAGCTGAGGACCACTGTCAGATCTGGTGTAACACTCGCCTTTCTGTTCAGTGTAGCTAATTATCTATAACTATAACCAAGATATACTATATTTAGCTTGTTTCTTGTTATTTTATACTTTCTTACATATCCATTGAGCAAATTTCTTAGGGGCTTGTTCTATCATTTCTAAAATCCATAGGTCACTTGACTGGTAATAACTGATCACAGTGCACCAACTGTGTCATACTGTGACTGATGCATTAGCTATTCAGGAATGAAAACTTTGTCAACTTCCACCCCCTTAACCTTTCTTTTTTCCCAAATCACATTTCAGAGAGTCAGGGTCATTCTAGTGAATAACACTTATGAAGCAATCAGTGTCAAAAGTCCCCAAGACAACACTCCACTTAATGATTTGCTATAACTCACAGAATTTGGAAATCCTGTTATATCAACTATTATGGGTAATCACTAAATTTTCTGACCTATTTCCTTAATGTCTAACTCATAAAAGGGCAATCTGTGTCAAAGGTTCCCAAGATCACATAGTAAAAAGGCACAGATGAAAGTCAGTAAAGGTAAATGGTATATGGGACAGAGTCCAGGAGAGACATAGCACTGAATTTCCAGTGGAGTCATACAGACAATGCTTAATTCTCCAACAACAATGTGTGACACTGCAGGGCTGTTTATATTTGTCCTATGATCTCTCCTAATGTGAGTAGCATTTTCTCAGGAGAACTTGTTGAAAGTAATCAGAGCCATTGTTGAAAATCAGGGTTACCTGAGAGAATGAATAAAACTTGAGGCACATAATACACAAGCCTAGAAACTTTAAAGACCCTGGGCCATAAGGTGTCCAAATGGGCTTTGACCAGCTGTGATCCTAGTAGGCCGTGCTCTTGAGTAAGGATGAGTGCAGCTGTGTGGATGATCAGGAAGACCTGGAGGGCCTGGGTTCTCCCCTCTGAGCTGAGGTATTGTGCAAATAGGACCTGAAGGCTAAGGTAAAGTTGTTACTGTCTGGCTGAGTGCTGAAGGCATGCCCCAACACACACACACGGAGCTCCTTGGCAAAGAGTAGATTTATGGTCCCAGGCATCTAAAGAAATCTCTGGCCAGTCATGTGCTGACTACTAAGCTAACTGAGTAGAGAATTTAGTGACCACACTTAACTAGGAATAGAGAAGTTATAGGATTAGTTCTGTGTCTTCCATGTGTGTCTGTGTGCATGTGAATATTGTCTGAGTATGGGTGGTTTTGTGGGTGTGTGAACATGTCTGTCCGTTTGTGACCATGTGAGAAGTGTTGGGGAATGTACAAGAGTTATGTGTGTGATCAGCTGTGTCTGGGTGTGTCAAGTGTGCAGTGTGAATAAGGTGACTTACCCCATGTTCCCTCAGATCATCCTGACCTCCCTAAGGCCCCAGACAAATGCAGATGACAAACAACAGAGGTGAAGACCACTCAGTACAGGCAGGTGAGGTGAGGGAAGGGTAAGAACATGTCCTGGGGGAGAGGTTGTAACCACATTAAGAGGTATAGGCCTAGTAAGGAACTGTGTGAGAGGGTCACATCAGACCATGGTTATCCCAGAAGCCTGTACAGAGCTGGGAGGTTGGAGATGGGGAAAGAGGGTGACATCTATTTGGCCCTTCCTTTCCCTACCTGGGTAAGTACCTGAGGCAAGCAGCAGGGGCAAGGATCTCTGGAGCCACCCCACCCCACCCTGCCCTGGCCCTGTGCCCTTTGGCAGCACACTTCACACAGCAAGAGGGCAAAGGCCAGTGTCACCTCCTTTTATTAGGGAACAGTCCAGACTAGTCGAGCACTCAGGGTGTAGTAAGTGTATGCTGCCTGGTCCTCTGTGCCTGGTGGGGTGGTGTACGCCAGTTGTGCCCAGAGGAGCCCTATGTGTAGCGGGGCAGCCATGGGTTTGCTGATGGGGGTTGCACTGGCACCTGTGGCCATAGCCGTGGCCATCTTCCTGCTCCTGGTGGACCTGATGCACAGGCGCCTACGCTGGACTAAACGCTACCCACCAGGCCCTATGCCGTTGCCGGGGCTGGGCAACATGCTGCAGGTGAACTTAGATAACCTACCATCCTCCATCAGCCAGGTGAGAGATGTGGTGATGGATGCAGCAGAGGTCCTAGGAACATCCCCCCACAACCAAGCAACAGGCGTGGGTGGTGGGTGAAGCCACAAGCTGGACTAGGACCTGGGCTTGGAAGAGGAAGCAGGATTCAGAGGCTTCCTGAGGGAGGACATTTGTGCAGGGCCTGAAGGACTGTTTGAATTTTCCAAAGGCCAAGGTCTGGGACGGTAAAGGCCTGGAGGTGGAATAGGACTTGGGACTGGGCTTGCAAGCAAGTTAGGCAGCATATAACTATGGAAGCCTGTGTTCCTTCTGATCACAACAGAAGGGAAGGTCTTGGGAATGGAAGAAGGATCGGGTCCTGAACACCATTTAAATCAGGAAATGGAGGTTTAATGAAGTGCAATGATCTGGTTCAAATCTTTTGCCTTTGTGGGTCCTTGGGCCTCACACTCACCTCCCTGAACCTGTTTCCTCATATGTAAAATGGTATGCTCCCTGAGACATACTGATCATTTCAGTTATTCAAGGTCAACTGAGTAGCGGATCCAAAATAAATTCCTCAGCCACGGAGAAAGTGACCTCCACCCCTTCCCCCAAGGATCAGGAGGCCAGTTTTCCTCCTGGCACAGGCTCACTACTGGAAGCCCTGGGTTCCCTCAGGACTTAGGCGGGGGAGTCTAGGATGGCAGCCCTGCGGGAACCCCAGCCTGACTGAGGCCCTGTCCCTCCGCCTCCAGCTGCGGCGCCGCTTCGGGGACGTGTTCAGCCTGCAGCTGGGCTGGGCGCCGGTGGTCGTGCTCAACGGGCTGGCGGCCGTGCGCGAGGCGCTGGTGAGTCGGGGGGAGGACACCGCCGACCGAATGCCAGTGCCCTTCTTTGATCACGTGGGCTTCGGGCCGCGCTCCCAAGGTAAGCTGCGGTGGAGGAGGAGACACCGTCCGTGCGGAACCTGTGCGGGCAGTGACCGGAGGCAGGACGGGGCGGACGGGCGCGGAGACCTGGACTTGGGGGGGCAATAAAAGGCCAGCGAAGGCTGGGGGCCGTGGGTACAGAAAGAAGACCAAGGGGCTAGTGTGGGCGGGGCCGATGGAGGGCCCTGGACCCGCCGTGGGAGGGAAGCCGGGCAGTCTGGGTAGGTCCCGTACTCAGAGAGGGAGAATACGGTGGGCAGGGACGAGGGCGGGGACTGTTCTCAGAGGGGGCGTGGACAGCTGAGCTCAGAGCAGAGGGGAACACTCTTGAGGGGACTGTAATTGCGCGGGTCTTCCAAGAGGAGGCGTCGAGGGGTTGGGTGCAGAAGGCGGGGCCAGGGCCTCGCCGGCGACGCCCACGTGATCGCTCCTCCTCCAGGAATTATCAATGCGCGCTATGGGCCCGCGTGGCGCGAGCAGCGGCGTTTCGCCGTGTCCACCCTGCGCAACTTCGGCCTGGGCAAGAAGTCTCTGGAGCAGTCGGTGACGGAGGAGGCCTCCTGCCTCTGTGCAGCCTTCGCTGATCAAGCCGGTGGGAGACGCCCGGAGGGGCACACGCCTGGAACCGGGGAGGCGGGAACACCGGAAGGAGACCCCCTAACCCACGTCCTCTGCTCCCAGGCCGCCCCTTTAGTCCGAACGCCCTCCTGGACAGAGCGGTGAGCAACGTGATCGCCTCCCTCACCATCGGGCGCCGCTTCGACTACGACGACCCGCTCTTGCTCAAGCTCCTGGACCTAGTTGAGGCACATCTGAAGGAGGAGAGCAGCATCGTGTCCATGGTGCGGGCATTGGAGGGGCAACCGGAGCCCAGAAAGGGCAAGCTCCGAGGAGGTGCATGGGCCTGCACCTGGGGTTTCTACATGAGTCTGGGGAAGGGACATTCCAGGAGAGGCCACTGCAAGAGGAAAGGTCTGGAGGAGGGAAAACTCAACAGGAATGGGAGAGGCGGGCCCCAAGAGAGGGGCGAGGAGCCTGTGCCTCCTGTCCTGGCTGGACACCACCCAAGCCCAGGATTCCATTTTAGGTTTCTTCTTCTAGGCCGCAGGGACCAGGAGGGAGCCTGAAGGCTGGCATCTGGGGAGTGAGGAAATCAGTCGTGGAGATAGGAGGTGGCTGGGGCCTGTGACTGGTCCAGGTGAACCCAGAGCAGGGGAGAGACCCAAGCCCTCTTCTGTGGCTGGCACAGGTGCTAGGTTTTGTCCTGGTGCTCCTTCGCATCCCAGGGGTGGCTGGTAAATACCTATATGGGAGGAGGAACTTCTTGGCCCAACTGGATAAGCTGGTGACTGAGCACAGGATAACGCGGGACCCGGCCCAGCCACCCCGAGACCTGATTGACACCTTCCTGGATGAGATGGACAAGGTAAAGGGCCAGTGCCGGGGATTGAGCCAGGGTGGTCGTTGAGGGTCCCATGAGGAGTGAGAAGAGGGAGCAAGCTCTGGCCAATGCATCACCCTGTGACAGGTGCAGAATGGGATGTCATCTGAGGGCTTTCTCCCTCTGTCCTGAGCCCACTCTCTCAACCTGACTCAGGCCAAGGGCAATCCCGAGAGCAGCTTCAATGCTGAGAACCTGCGCCTGGTGGTGTTTGACCTGTTCGCTGCTGGGATGGTGACCACCTCCATCACACTGTCCTGGGCCCTGCTGCTCATGATTCTGCATCCGGATGTGCAGCGTGAGTTCAGCTGGGGGTCTTTGGGGGAGGATGAGCAAGGGAAGGCAGAAGCGGGGGCCCCTGGCTCCAAGCACAGGCTGACGAGCACAACCCCAACACAGGAGCCAGGAGAGGGTCAGTGCCCATCTCCTGGGTTCTGACCCACTGTGGGGAAACATGTCTGTCCAGGCCGTGTCCAACAGGAGATCGACAAAGTGGTAGGGCAGGCGCGGCCACCAGAGATGGCTGACCAGGCCCGCATGCCCTTCACCACCGCCGTGATTCATGAGGTGCAGCGCTTTGGGGACATCATCCCCCTAGGTGTACCCCACATGACCACCCGTGACACTGAAGTGCAGGGTTTCCACATTCCCAAGGTAGGCCTGGGAATCTCCTTACCCAAGCTTAACATGTGGTGCCTACTGGTGATTCCCGCCTGGCTGTTGCCAATTGGGGTCAACTGGGGCCCAGACCACCCAGTCCTCAATTCCACTGGCACAGACTGTCCCGGCCTGAGTGTAGTTTAGAGTTGGAGGGGGACCAGCCTGTCTATGCAGAACCCCGTACTAGTGGGAAAGACAAACCAGGACGTTCCATGAAGTATTTTAGGAACCAATACCTACAGGAGTAGGGGGCAGTGAGGGACCCCTAGGAGGCATGACTTGCGCCCTGCCATGGGCTGCAAGAGGATGCCAAGAGTTTTCCAAGGCAAAAATGTTCCATTTGTGTGCCAGGCAGAGTGTGTGCCCCGCCGCCCGTGTTTGTTAACAAGAGTTCTGGCAACCTAGAGCCCAGTCCATACTGACGCCAGACTTCTCATTTCCAGGGGACAATGTTCTTCATCAACCTCTCGTCAGTGCTGAAGGATGAGACCATCTGGGAGAAACCCTTTAGCTTCCACCCAGAACACTTTTTGGACGCCCAGGGCCACTTCGTGAACCAAGAGGCCTTCATGCCTTTCTCAGCAGGTGCCTGTGGGGGTTTAGCTCTCTACTCCCTTCTGGGAGTCTTGGAGGGAAGGAACCAAGGGCTCAGGCTCATCGACCCCCCTCACCCACCCACAGGCCGTCGCGTATGCCTTGGGGAGCCCCTGGCCCGCATGGAGCTCTTCCTCTTCTTCACCTGCCTCCTGCAGCGCTTCACCTTCTCGGTGCCTACTGGACAGCCCCGGCCCAGTGACCAAGGTGTCTATCGCATCATTGTGGCCCCATCCCCCTACCAGCTGTGTGCTGTGCCCCGATAGAGACGCCATAGGCCTCCAACCTGATCCTCAGCTGTGACCCTGTTGTACAATAAACCAGTCTAGTAGCTCTTGCTTGGTTTCTCAGTCCAACCTGGCCCCTCTAACAAGGCCCTGGCTCTCTTGGGTCTTCATCACTTGCCTGAAGTCAGCTCTCACCCCCTGCCTCATCCATCCTTTCCTGACCACATGACTTTACTTGAGTTGTCAGTGTACTAATGCACAAAGGTGCCAACTAGGCCAGGTATAGTGGCTCACTCCTGTAATCCCAGCACTTCTAGAGGGCAAAGCTGGAGGATTGCTGGAGCCCAGGTATTTGAAACCAGCCTAGGCAGCATAGCAAGACCTCATCTCTACAAAATCAAAATGTTAACATATTAGCCAGGCGTGGTAGCACACACCCACACCTGTAGTCCCAGCTACTCAGGAAGCTGAGACTGAAGAACTGCTTGAACCCAGGAGGTCAAGGCTGTGGTGAGCCGTGATCGTGCATTGCACTCCAGACTGGGTGACAGTGAGACTCTGACTCCAAAAATAAAAGAAAGAAAAAAGAAAGGTGACAACTTAAACCTAAGTCATTCCCAGAGACCCATCAGTGGCTTCCCAGGATGGCGTCAATGTCCCTGCATAAGTCTTGACTCCTGGGGTGGATGACAATATGCTTCTGCTAGGAATCATCTCAGTTCCTGGATGCGGGAGACCATATTGGGTTCCCTAAGACTACCCTCAGGGTCAGTGATTTGCTAGAATGCCTCAGAACTAGAAGAACTGTTATACTTACTGTTGTGGTTTATCACAGTGAAGGCTACAGATGAAAGACATAGGTAAAGGTACAGATAAAGGACAGATGGTACAGAATCTAGAAAGACCAGGCAGAAGCTTCCAGCTGCCCTCTGCCAATGGGTTCATACAGACTGCATATATCTCTCAGCAACAATGTGTGTGCAACAATACACAGCAAAGGATATTGCTGAGAGGGAACTCAGCCAGCCTTGATGTCCTGGATTTTTTGGGGGGCTGGTCACCTAGGCTTGAGCACCCACATGTTTGGCTTCAGTTACTTGTCTCCAGCTCCTCCTGAAGTCAGATTGATACAGTCCGAGGCTCCCACCCTCAATCACATCGTTGGCATAAACTATGTAGTGAAGCCCATGGCCCAGGTATCTGCAAAAACAGTACTATGAGGCAGGGTATTCCAAGGCCTTATGTCAAGAGTTAATTGTTTTGGAGTGCAGGGACTGAACTCCCCAGGCCTGTGGAGGTCACTTTTACTGCACAGGTTATTCTTCTTGGCTCCTCCAACAAAATTATTATTATTGGTTTGAGCATTAATACTTTTTTTTTAGTGTGGTATGAAACATAACATAAAATTACCGTCTTAACCATTTTTAAGTGCACCATTCGGTGTTATTAAGTACATTAATAATGTTGTGGAACCATCACCACCATCCAGCCACCAAACCCTCTTTTCTGACAGACCTGAAATTCTATACCTATGAGACAAACACTCCTCAGTCCCTGGACCACACTCTATTGCCTGTTTCTATGAATTTCACTCCTAAAAGAAGTCATGTAAGTGGGATCATACACTACTTGATTTTTTATGGTCATCTTACATCACTTGGCATAATACTCTCAAGGTTCATTCATGCTGTAGAAGATATCGGTATTTCTTTTCTTTTTAAGACTGAATAATTGTCCATTGTATGACTATGCCATGTTTTGTTCATCTGTGAATCTAACAATGGACACATGGATTGCCTTCACATTTTGGATAGAGTGAATAATGCTGCTGTGCTCATGGTGTATAAATATCTCTTTGGCACCCTTCTTTTATTTCTTGTGGGTCTATACAGGCAACCCTAGAGATATTTCATGTTTACATACAGAAAACTGCAAAAAAACAAATATTGCCATAAAGCAAGTCACACAAATTTGTTTGTTTCCCAGTACATATAAAAGTTATGTTTACAGGAAGCTGTAATCAATTAAGTCTACAGTAGTATTATTCTAAAAACAATATATATATTTTAATTTAAATATACTTATACGTCTTTAAAAAATGCTAACAATCATCTGAGTCCACAGCGAGTCTTGATCTTTTTGGAGGTGAAGAATCTTGCCTCAAGGTTGATGGCAGTCCTTGATTCCACAGGGTGGTGGTTGCTAAAAATTGGGGTGGCCGTGACAATTTATTCAAATAAGATAGCAATGAAGTTGGCTACGTTGATGGTCTCTTCTTTTTATGAATGATTTATCTATAGCCTACGATGATGTTTGATAGCATTTTATCCACAGTAGAACTTCTTTCAAACTTGGAGTCAGTCTTCTCAAACTCAGCTGCTGCTTTATCAGTTAAGTTCATGTCATGTTCTAAGTCCTTTGTTTTTACTTCAACAATGTTCCTTGTCCCTTCACCAAGAGTAGATTCCATCTCAAGAAACCACTTTTTTTCTCATTAATAAGCAACTCCTCTCTGCTCAAGTTTTCTCATGAGATTGCAGCAATCCAGTCACATCTTCAGACTTCACTTAATTCTAATATCTTGCTCTTTGCATCACAGCTGTAGTTACTTCCTTCTCTGAAGTTTTGAACCCCTCCATGTCGTCCAAGAGGGTTGGAATCAACTTCTTGCAAATGCCTGTTTATGTTGATATTTTGACTTCCTTCAATGGATCACAAACGTACTTAATGGTATCTTGAATAATGAATTGTTTCAGAAGGTTTTTCATTTACTTTGCCCAGATCCATCAGACACACCATTATGGTAGTGATAGACTTACAAAACATACTGCTTAAATAATAAGACTTGAGAGTCAGAATGACTCCTTGATCCATGGGCTACAAAATGGATGTTGTGTTTGCAGGCATGAAAACAACATATCTCCTTGTAGAGCTCCATCATGCTCTTGGATGACCAGGTGCATCGTCAAGGAGCAGGAATATGTTGAAATTCATCTTTTTTTCTGAGCAATAGAATTCTACAGTGGGTTTAAAATATTCACTAAACCATGCTGTCAACAGATGTGCTGTCATCATCAAGTCTTTTTTGTTCTATTTATAAAGCACAGGTAGAATAGATTTAACTTTTTTTCATTTTAAACAAGAAGTTTATTTCAACAAGACACTCGACTTGAAGGAAAAACTGTCTGGGATTCTTTTTTTTTTTAAAGTAATTTATCCCTACTTAAGGACGTGTAACAGCTATGTACAAAAAAGTTATTAAATTGTCCTTGGTTTTACAATGATAAATGAAAAACGTTAAAATTCTCCAATTGAACAAGGTATGCAAGGATTTTTATGTTGCTTTTTTTGTTGTTTAAACAGTGAGAGCAAAGTAATTTACTGTAATATAAAGATAAGAGCTGAATGAGCGTGTCACTAGTGGAGAAAGGGGGTCTTTTCACAGAACCGTATTTGTTCCCATCCCATCTCCACTTGATGTCAATCAAAACGTACCACTGGTCATTTAGTTTTTTTAAATTGCAATATGCTTGTGCATATGCATCAGTTACTTGACACTAAAGGAATGAGAAAGGGGAAAGTGAAAGAATAGCAAAAACTATACTGTAATAGTCAGAATGGAGCAGAACCAAATTGTAGTTTTCTAATTGAGAATGTAATCTTGGTCTGTAAGAAGAGTTCTGGAGTAAAGAAACAGGTTCTCTTTTTAGTAGATACCTCCTGTCTGCTGCTGGAACACACCAGTTGTATCTTCATCCTCCATTTCAACTGTGCAGGTGTATCTGTTCTACTGATTGGCTGCCCGTCAAATTGGAACCTGATCTGCCTCATTGACAAACCCTGTTCTTCACAATAAGCTTTTATTAACTTACTAAGTGGTATGCCTCTTAATCTTAAACGGAACCACAGAACCATCCTGCCCTGACACCTGCAAATTAATACAATTGTTGTTCTCAGTCTTGACTCTTTCCTCAGGCTTGACTGTTTCCATCAGTCTCCTCAGCTGCCCCTTCACAAAAGAGGTAGCAGGTTCACACTGAACAAGCATGCAAGCAGCACCAGGAGTGGCAAAATAAGGAAGCAGCAGTGGTGGACAAAGGAGATATTTTACATAATTTTAAGAACCCTGGGATTATTGGAACAGAAAATGAGCACTGGCTTCAATGTAAAGTCACTGCGTTAGCCCGTAACAAGAGAGTCAGCCTATTCTTTACAGGCTCAAGTTATGAAGACAGGTATTGACTTCTCCTCTCTAGCTATGAAAGTCCTACATGGCACCTTCTTTCAACAGAAGCCTGTTTCACATCCATGGAAAATCTGTTGTTTATTGTAGCCACTGTCATCAATGATCTTAGCGAGATTTTCTGCATAACTTGCTGCAGCTTCTTCATCAGCACTTGTTGCTTCACCTTGAATTTTTATGTTATGAAGATGGTTTCTTTCCTTAAACTCCATGAACCAACATCTGCTTGCTTCCAACTTTTCTTCTGAAGCTTCCTCACCTTTCTCTGCCTTCAAAGAATTCAAGAGAGGTAGGGCCTTGCTCTGGATTAGGTTCTGGCATAAGGGAAGGTGGTGATTTGTTGCTTCTTGTGTTCTGACCACTAAAACTTTGTCCATAACAGCAATAAGACTGTTTCACTTTCTTATCATTCACATGTTCACTGGAGAAGTTACTAATCTCCTTTCAAGAACTTTTTCTTGTTTTCACAACTTGGCTAACTGGAGCAGGAGACCTAAATTTCAGCTTATCTTGGCTTTCGGCATGCTTAATCTCTAAGCTTAAACATTTTTAGCTTTTGATTTAATGTGAGAAGGCCAGGCATGGTGGCTATTGCCTATACTCCCAACCCTTTGGCAGGCAAGGCAAGGGCATCCCTTGAGTCCAGGAATTCAAGGGTAGAGTGAGCTATGAAGGCGCCAGTACTTCAGCCTGAGTGACAGTAAGAAACCTTGTCTCTAAAAGAAAACAATGAAAGAGAGATGTGCAAATCTTCCTTCAACTTGAACATGTAGGTGCCATGGTAGGGTTATTAATGGGCCTAACTACAATATTGTTGTGTCTCTGGGAATAGGGAAACCAGAGGAGAGGGAAACCAGGAAC